TGAATGGAATGAGCTATTAAGTTTGGTCCTAATGCGGTGTTAAGAAGGTGTTTGACAGTGCAATCCCTCCCTCGGAGAGGCATTCCACTGCTGTTGTTGGTATAACTGATCTTCTGTTTCTCTCTTTCATTACAGAGAGCATTTCTCCAGATGCCACAGCTGTGAGTGCAGAGGAAGCACTGAAATACCTGCTTTTCCTTGTGGATGTCAATGAATTGTATGATTATTCCCTGGGGACATACGATTTTGATTTAGTCGTCATGGTGGCAGAAAAGTCGCAAAAGGTCTTGGCTAATAGTTACAACAAATACTTTTGCTGCTTGCCCAAAGGTTCTGTGTAGTCTGTGGATGAGTCCGCTTGTTTTATTAGGCACAGCTCCCTGCCCGGGCAGGGTTCGCGATACCCAGAAAACCCATGTCTGCTTGGAATGATGTTGGGAAGCTGGCATGCCTCCGCATCCCTTAGCGCTTCCTGAGTGCAGCTTAGGGAACTCACTCATGCTCAGGGTGAAGTAGGGCTACTCTTGAGCAGTGCTGCAAACGGTCCTAGCAAAAGGACTAAAATGGACTGTGATCCAGAGCATTATAGCTGTGTGCCTTTGGGTTCTCTGTTCTGTGCTCTTTAGGGTTTTGCTTAGTTGGATGGTGGCCGTGATAGAATGTGTATTTTCCAGCAGGTTTGATTTGAAATTTCTCTATAGAAATGCCAAGTCAGCCTTAGGATCAAATTTATACAGGTCCTCATAGTTTCCTCATGTTGCATGAGAGCCTGCTGGCCATAAAATAAAATACCATATTTGTGTTAGCAGGAATATGTTTGTCGTGACTTTTCATGACCTGTCGTGACAAAATTGATTAGCTTTGCAGCTGCAGATATATAGGAAGTAGCAGCTAATAGAAAGCAGTATTTGATAAGTGAATAATGTTGATACTTGAATTTAAAATATCAGCAGCCATTAGATACTGCTGAAGTCCACATGGAAGCTTGTTAATTAGTCATTCCTGGCAAAAGTACCTATGCAGAATTGATCCTTTAGAATGACTTATATTTTAACAAAAGTGTCTTTCTAGTGTATCATTGTATAATGATTGCAGATATGGGACTGTCAACAGAAAAAGGATGTTATCAGATGAGCTCAACTGCAGTTTTTATTATTCTTGACAGGATCCGAAAGAATACTTACCCTTCTTAAATACCCTCCGGAAAATGGAAACTAATTATCAGCGATACACAATAGACAGACACTTGAAAAGATATACAAAAGCTCTCGGGCACCTCAGCAAATGTGGTAAGTGTCCTGCAAGTGCAGCATCTCTAAGGAGAAATTCTGTAGTGGAGCGTTTCTGTGATGTAGAGTATTTTGGGGTAAAATAGCTGAAGAAGGAGCTCCTGTTAGCCTATGGTTAACTATATTCTGCTCCATGTTTTTTTTTTTAGTGTAGGTAGGAGCAAGGAGAGAGATGGGAGATCGTGAAGTACGAGTCTTGTTTTGTTCTGAGTGTGGATGCCTTGTCAGCAGTTTCTGTTGTTGGCAAAAGTGAAGCAAGCCTTGAGGAAGTGAATCCCTTGCTTTATTTAGAGATGTGGAGTAGGTGCTTTTGTGCTGTTGCACGCAAGTACCTCTAGTTGCTGCTTAATGTGATGAACTCAGGCTGGCTAGGAAGCCTGAGAACCATGTGTATTCTTATTTGTCACTACAGAAAAATAAATTCTTTCCACAGGTCCTGAACACTTCTCTGAATTTCTGAACTTGGTGAAGGATCAGAATCAGTACTATGAAGCCTTAAAGCTGTACCCACCTAGCAGCCAGGAGTACAGGGTGTGTGAGCCACGGGATCCTGCAGTGTGCTGAACAAGCTTTAAATTCTCTTATGCGTGCGTATGCATGCCCATCCGCAGCACCTTGAGTGAGGGCAGGAATGAGACAGCAGCTGCTTACATTCAAGCTCTGCAAGGCCTTGGTATTCCTCTGTGGCCTGAGACCTTTCTCCAGGATATTAGCTGGAATGACCTTCAGCGCTGAGCTTATGAGGCCTGGTCGTCCAACGAGCGGTTATTTTTGTTTTGATCCCATGACCAGGAGAGTACTTGGTAGTGTAGTTTGTGCTCCCTTATCTTGCGATGTGCTGGAGACATCCCAGTTATCACAGAAAGACTTCTCTTTCTCTCTTGACCTCTTGTGATACCAGCTTTCTGTCTGGCCCTTGCGGGTTGTATGGGGGGCATCTGGTTACCTTAGACTGTAGAATCCCTTGTTAATTTCAGTATTGGTGAAACAATTTCTTTAGTTTACGCCAGGCTAAAGTAAAACGTAAATGAAAGCATTTAATTCTGATGTTGTAAATGTGTAATGCACAGGTCACTGTAAAAGAAGTAGATGAAGAAATAAGAGGGAAAATAAATTCAGTCTGTTTGGAATTAGGTGATACCAGAAAGGACTTTCTTCCTGAAGTAAAGCTATTCCTGTCTGGCTTATTGGGAGTCTGTCTTTATTCATTCTATATTTTTCTGGTCAAATCCATCAGCCCCTTCTTGATGGAGCCTGTGAGCTTTGAATAGCCCTGTAGCAGCTCAGTCTGTTGCTCCATGGCAGCCTGTGCCTATCTGATTGCAGGGCCTGCTTCCTTCCTTGTGCCAGTGTTTGACTCCTGGGATATGTTGGTTCAGGAAGACTTTCTAACAAAAATCCCTCATTTGCGTGGAGGGAACGGATTGGTTTCCTGCACTCAAATGGGTGCTGGGGAGGAGCAGACCTTCACAGCCAGAGGCTGGGGAGCACAGACTGCTACCTGCACTTAAGCCTGTTAGCATAGGCTGCTGTGGAACTGTAACAGGCGCGCTCTGCCTCTGCAGGAGATGAAAACATCACTTTGGTAAAAAGGTGTCAAGTACAGAAGATAGGACTTTGCCCAACCTTTGGCTCAGAGAGTTAGGTACTTCCTCCTGTCTCTTGCTTTAGCTCTGTGTAAAACGTTTCTGTGGTCGTTAACACTTGGTTTGGTATAGAGCTTGAAATGGGCTAGGGACATTCTGCATGGAGGTTCCTCTTGGGGGGAAAAGAAGACTTGGGCTGAGGGGCGCTTTTATTTTTCCTATGGACAAATGCTGCTAACTCCCCAGCTAATCTTTTCTTTCCTCTGTTTTGTCCCTGTTTTGCAGGATATCAGCGATGCCTATGGGGATTACTTGAATCAGAAGCAGCTATACGAACAGGCTGCATTGATATTTGCTCGTGCTGGCATCTTTGCAAAAGCACTTGACTCCTTCCTGAGCAGTGGCAGCTGGCAGCAAGCCCTGTGCATGGCCTCACGGCTTGGTTACACAGAAGACAAGCTGGCCAGTCTGGCACGGAGCATGGCAGGTACGCCTTGATAAGAGGAAAGACTGCAAAAAGTCAGGAAAATCAGCAAAACTGGCTACTGTTATCTTTGGTTCAGTGTGATTTTTTTTTTTTTTTCCCTTCAGCTTCTATAAGAACCTCAATCTTTAGCAATGTTTTTCTTAGAGGGAGAAAAAAGGGCCCATGTTGCCCAAAGGGTTGTGTAATTGCTCATCACTTGCCTTAGGAGCTGAGCTGGTGGGTACCCATGACTTGCCAAGTTAGTTGTGGCCTTCGTTGCCCCATACTGCCTTGTTCTTGCCGTGTTCTTTGCAGCCAGTGTCTTCATGTTTTCTTCTTAAAGCTTGCTAGAAGCCAGAGCCAGCTGGTACCTGTAAGGCTAAGTGCAGGATAAAAGGTATCCTACTACAGGATAAAAGATGGCTCATCTCAAAGAGCTTGCCCACTAGGACACAGTGGGCCACGTGCATGAGATGCTTGTCGTGGACCTGGCTCATATTTCTACAAAGGAAATGGAGCGTCTTCCTGGTTTTAGCCTTACTCAGAGGCAGATTTTTACAAAGCCCACTTTAAGCCAGGTGAATATGGCTCCTGGAAATGTCGTCTTCCAGATTTGGGTATTCCAGTATCTTGTTTTGCTGTTACTTAATGCACTGTGGATCCTTCATATCTAACGGAAGGCATATAGTTCACTTTTTATGTTAACGCTCTTGCCTTTAACACCTTTCCTATGGCCCATCTTAAATAATAACTGTAACTTAGCAAGATGAACAGATACAGACCCTCTTGGATAGCAGTGCTTTGCTCTGGCAGTTTTGTATTTGTTTTTCTCGCCCTATGTATTGTTATTTCTCTTATACGGCATCCTAACAGACAAGCCAGTGCCAAAGGTTGTCCAGGCTTTCAGGGAGACTACAAGGCTTGAAGCCCTCAGGCTTAATGTTTACTGTCCGTACCACAGAGAGCAGGGAACAAACTGCTCCCAGCAGACAGCAAGACTGTGATACACTGAAGCTTCCAGGAGAAATTTGCTTTCTACTTCCTGCCCGCCTCCACTTAAGAGATTCCCTCTTCACTGTTTCTGTCTCAGAGTGTGAGGGGGAGGTTCTTCAGCTGGCCTTGAGGGAGGTGCATCAGCAATTTCACAGGCAACTGGCTGATAATGTTAGAGGTTAATGGAATTCTTGGCTTTGGGCAGCCCTCCTCTTTAGTAGGAAGACGGAGTAAGTGTGTGAGCAGGTAGAAAGTGCCTCAGTGAGTGGGACTTAGCAGTACTTTGTTTTTTGGCATAAAAGCCAAGTATTCCTGAAAAGCTGGTCTGCCTTTCCTTGTAGGAAAACTAGTTGAACAGAGGAAGCACGCAGAGGCAGCCCTACTCCTGGAGCAGTACACTCAGGTAATGTAATCACCCTCCTGTCTGTGTTACTGTCCCAGCAATATCCACTGTCCAAGCCAAGCCATCCATGTTCTCTGTTCTCCTGAGCCGCGTGTGACTGAGTAGGGACTTGCCCTCCATGAGTGCTGATCACAGAACAGTCTGTGCAGTCAGCCCCCCTGGGGAGGGCAGAGCCAACCCAGGCAACGCAGTGAGCAGGGAGTTGCTGAATGCTGTGTCCTTGAGTTGCCAAACCCACGTGGCTGCCTCCGCTTTGGTCTGAAAAGCTTTTGTACCAGAGAGATGAAGCATGAGTTCTGGAACAAGGAAGATGTAGGTCCGTGGCCCCTTAGCCACACAGTAGACAGGTGACTTTGCTATGTTTTTTTAGGGGCTGATGTGTGTTGCATGAGCAGATATTGAAAAATGGGCCGCTGACACTGTATCCTTGGATGAAGGGAGCCAGAGGAAGGCTAATTCAAAGCCACTTTGGAGAACAGTGCTGTGAATTGCTATAGCCATGCTTTGCACCGGAGATAGTTTTACTCGGGGATTTTGTAATGCCTTGCCTTATATTTGCATGTGCTTGCCTTTGGGCTTGTGATATGTGCCAGGCAAGTGGTCTCTGCTCAAAGGACAGATGCTAACCCTTGGAAGCTATGCAGAAGTAGGACAAGAGGACAGGCAGACCTGTTTGGCTCCTGATGGTCTTTGAAGAGACCTTGTAACTGGCCACTTAGAAGTTGAAGACGAGAGTACTTCCCAGAAAGACACACTTGCTGTGATTTTTGTTGTGGATTAGACCCAAACTGCAAACTCAGAGTAGCTAGTTTCATGTTTCTTGGTTCTGGGCCACACAATGAGCTTATCTTCTTGCCGTCCCTGTGAAGATCCTGTGCGTGGCCAGGGCTATGTTTTTGTACAGAAGTTTTGAGCACCAGGGGAGAGGGAAGGGGAGAAGTAGTAATTTCTTGTTTTTAATGTCAGCGCTTAAAAAGTGCCTGGCACAGTAGGGTTTTTCTGTGCTGACTGGGATACTGCTGTGTAGGAGTGTTCACGTGGATAGATGCTGCTTGAATGTCTATTGTCAGCATCAGTAGAAGGTAATAAACAGCGCATGGTTGCCGTTTCCTTCCAGGACTATGAAGAGGCTGTTCTCCTGCTCTTAGAAGGGGCTCTCTGGGAAGAGGCTTTGAGGCTGGTAAGACATTTCAGAGTAAGAAAACCAGAGTGAAAAGATTTTTTGGAGTGCAGGAGTAGGGGGATAGGTTCTGAGTTACGTCCTTAAATAACTCTGTTTCCCTTTTCTGCTCTTTGTTATCCAGATTCACAAGTATGGCAGATTGGATATCTTGGAAACCAACTTCAAACCTGCTATCCGGGAAGGTGAGACTGCACAAGAATCTGATATTTCTTTGTGCTGTAGAGTAGGAAGGAGATCGTTACTGGGGCTATAGGAACCTGCAGCACTCCACTACTGGAAGCTGTGTGGAAGGCTCCTTTCATTCTGCCTAACTGATGCTGAGTGGTTAGCCGCATTTGGCTCTACTCAGTCCAGCCTGAAACGCTGCAGTGTTACGGGCGCTTTTTAGTTTTTTTTGAGCTCCTTTTGAGTTTTTCCAGGGCTCTCAATCACAGTCTGCAATGAGATTTATGTTTACAAGTCTGTGAACAAGCAGGACCGTCCTTATTCCAGAGCAAATGTGTGGCTGCAGAGCTGTGTGCTGTCCTAGAAGCTTTTATGAGAATTTGTTTTTAAGGATGATTTGATACCTATATTCCCTCCTCACTCCAGAAAGGCTGGTTGGGTGCTATCGGAGATTTTCGTCTCTGTGAGCGCCTTGCACTGCGGCTAGAAGGCTCTATGAATTGAAGGAGGGGGTTCTTTCGCCTGAGCCTACTAAAATGTAAAGAGACTGGCCACAGAGCTTTCTGTTCTTCCTGGGTCACGAATAACCTGTTGTTCTGTAGGTGCTTCTTTGGTACATTAGTTCAGTCTGCATCTGGGTGCGTCTTGTTTGATGGCTCCTGTATTACAAGCTTTGAATTTCCTTATACTCAAGAGTTCTTTCATGTTCTTTGCACCTGACTTCTGAAATTCTTGAAGGACTGCGCAGAACACTTAAACTTGTGTAGAAATGTTCTTCTAGTTCTCTTGTAAAGATGTTCGTGTTCTTCTCTTGGACGTGATTCTCTCCTTGAGCAGCTCAGAAAAGTCAGCTGATGTTCCTAAATTCTCAGAAAGCAGCATTCATTCGCCATAAGAGTCGACTGCAAGTTGTGCGAGAGCTGAAGGAGAGGGCTTATGAGAACCTGCAAGGTTGGTATAGAAGTGCATATGATTTTCTCCAGCATAAGTAGCTGTGATCATCTTTTTCTTTGTGATTTCCGTTTGTGCTATGGATCTGTGCTCTCTTCTAGCTCCAGTGGTATCCTTGGAACCTGCTGTAGGTTTTTAGAATGGGTATTTTTCCTATTTAGCTTGGGGGGTAGGATGCAGGAAACAACAGGAGACAGCATTCTTCTCTCCCTCCATCCCTACCTTGTACTTGGAGTGTGACTATTCGACTTGGGTCGTTCTGTGAAGACAGCTGTATTTTCAGGGCTGTCTCCTGTCACAGTTTTCACAGGATCAGAGCGTTAAATGCACCCGAAAGCTCTTCAGAACGAGATAACGTTGTTTCTGCAGTGCCAGCTTGGTCACGTCAGGTAGTGCTAAGCACATCCTATGTGCCGTGTACCCACTAGGCATGTTCACCTGCCAGCTTACACAGCCTTGGGGAAGTTTTCTGAAAGCAGAACGCTCTCATGGTGCAGATCTGCTGCACTGCGATTCTGTCTTCCCTCTTAATTTTGCTGGTTAATAATCACAATACCCAGCAGGGCAAAGGAGCTGCATCCTTCTCACAGTTGTTGTTTCTTCTCCTGTGTGCTGGCTGAGCTTGACTGAGAGCCATGAGGCTCACGAGTGCCGTCAGGTAAAAAGACTCTATCCAAGCTTCTGCTCTAACAAGCTACATAGATTACCCATACAGAAAACTGATTAACTGTGGTCTTTTTCCGTACTATGACACTCGTTAATGTGTTTTGCAGATTATGAAACGCCAAATTGCCCAGAATTGGATCTGATCTCTGAAACCAGCAGTGTTGTGACAGCCAGTGACATGAACAGCAAATATTCGCATAGCAATTCAAGAATATCAGCGTAGGTATCTGCCTGCAAATTAGGTGTTGGCTGCCCTGACCTCAGCCCTTGTTTTGGAGGGCAGCTTGCTCGTGCTTGGCATGGTCCTCTTAGCAGCTGTGCATGCTTTGACGCTAGCTTTAATTACAGTCATTTTGTGGTTAATTTGGCTGTTATTGGGAGGGAGAGAGCAAAAAATGCCAGAATCTAGTAGTGCAGCAGGAACTGAGAGCCCACTTGAGGACTGTGGGCACAGATTCTGGGCAGGAGCTGGCTTTGTAGGTGTCAGGCACGTTGTCAGAGCAGCTCACCGTAGGAGGCTTGACACCGAATGTGGGCATAGTTCCTCAAACGTTAACTGTTTGTGCGCAAGGCTTGTGCTCTTCGTCCTACGTTTTCCATTTGATAGGTGGGTGTTGTTACTAAGCCTCATACTGTTGTTTTCCCACCCCAGTCGTCTGTGTTGCTTCTGAGCGCTCTTTGGAATGCGAGCTGCAGTGTGATGTGGGGTGTGTGGTTGTGTTACAGGCTGGGATGGTTTGCAGGAGTGCTTCTGAACTCCTTATCTGAAGCATCTAGCCAAGATACAGCTGTGGAAAAAGTATGGGCTTTTTAGGGCACTTTCTGTAGTCCAGATGAAAGAGGAAGAGAATGTAACCTTTGTATTCAGCATGCCTGGGTCAGAGGTGCACAGAATCACCTCAGGACTAGGCAGGTAATACTCGCCTCTGCATTGAAGTTGCTTTGCAACAACTGGCAGGAGCTGAGCCGCATTAGTGCGCAGCTTGTAGAGACAGCAGAAATGAAAACATGCACAGCTGAGCACACACCCTGGCACCCAACTGTTTTAGGTGGAGGTCTGCTTTGCCTGCTAGTGACCATTGTCAAACAATTTACCTTATTTTGTGCTTTAGACAATGTTTAGCCCTTACTGGAACACAGAGCAGTCCTGTTTGTAGCAGATGGATTGTAGGACAACTTCCCAGCCCAGCTACTGACTTTGTGTCCCACAAAGTTTATTGGTTGAGCACCGTTGAAAACATTCACATAGGATATATCAGTTTACGTGCTGCCCCCTCTTACCGGGGATGGTAAGGACTTGAGAAACAGTGTTAGAGTGAAAGCTGAGATATACACTGCCAGACCAGGAACAGGGAAGAGAGCTAGCTCCACAGATGAGGTGGCTTCCTGCACAAGCTTCTTGCACCCTGTTGACTTTCCTTTAAATCTGCCATGTTACAGTTAGATCTGGTGTGTGCAGTAAAATAAGCATCCTTTTTTCCAGGCGATCCTCAAAAAACCGGCGCAAGGCTGAGCGCAAGAGGTACAGCCTGAAGGAGGGAAGCCCCTATGAAGATGTGGCCCTTCTGGAAGCCCTGGGAGAAAATGTCCGTGCTGTTGACACTCTAAAGGGTAAGACACTTGATCATCTTAATCCAGTTTCTAGCTTATAAGCAAGTGGAAGCAGTGTGCTCCCATCAAGAGATGGGTAGGCTGGGAAGATAAACTGCCTGGCCCATCTGTCGTTCCGTCTGTGATGGACTTTGATTTAGTTCATCTGTGCTTGTACTGCAAGAAGCACCTAGCAGTGTGAACTCTCAAAGTTTTTGGTCTTGGGAACAGACGAGTGAGGCATTGTCAATGCACTGACTGAAGTTTGCCTCACGTTTGTACTCGAGTATTGTAGGTGCTGGGTGGGAACAGAGGACTGCAGTTCTAATTCTGTGCTCCCCTTCTTCTGCCTTGACACCAGAATGCAGCTATTTATTTAGTACACTCATCTTAATTCCCACTGCCTGGGCTTTGTGTTCCCTCTTGCAGGAGACATACATGTCCTTCTGAAGCAGCTTGTGCTGTTTGGTTATGATGAGCAGGCTGGGGAACTGCAGCGAGTCCTGGAAGAGGTTTTGCACCTGATGGAGACCTCAATCCCAGAAATCTGGAGTCCAGAGCTGCAGCAGAGCTCTCTCAACCCGGTCCGTGCTTGTCCACAATACTCTTGGTGCCTGCCATACAATCCCAAATGTTAGCCACATTTGGCATTCTTCAGGAGATAATCCCAAATCTTTCCCTGGCTTTCCAGATATGACCTTTTCTGCAGAGGTCAAATAGATGTTCTGCAATGCATTATAAGAGCAGTGCACTTCTGAATTGATGTGCACTAGTTATGTATAAAGAGGCATAGCCTGTTATGTCTGTTGGGCTGAATTGCTACATTGGACATGATCAGTTTTCATAAAGCTTGTGTCATGTTCTAGTGGCGATTTCTTCTTGTAAGCCCTGTCTTAAGCAATTTGTAAAACACGGGAATATTGTTTTCTTTCTTAGGACTAATGGCTGAAGTGTTAGTGTCTACTGAAATAATGGTTATCCGTCCTGATGCCATGAGCTGAAAAGCTAACAGGCTCATTTACGACTACCAGGACCACATCAAATTTAGTCTGAACCACTGTAATTTACAGTGTATCTTGCAAAAAGGAGATGGGTTGTGAAGCTCCTAGGCTTCAGTTTGACATGGAACTGGGAAATCATAAGCGTTGCACTAGTTCCCTGAGTAATTTTTTTTTTTCTGATCAGTAGTTTCTGAGCTTTCAAGGTGAGCACAAGATATTCCCCAGTATGTTGTCCATAACTCCTGATCAGCAGGCATTTAAGGGCAGATTCAAACCTTTGCATGTGATAGGGAGCTGAAGCTCTTCAATGAACTTAAAATATCACTGACCTTGTAATAGAAGTATTCTGGCCGATTTATGCCACTTAATGTGCTGTGAAGGAGCTTATGTTGGGATGAGGGTCTAGCTTCTGAGCTGAGCAGCTGTCCCAACGCAGCTCTCTCTTTCTGCCTGTTTAGCTTTTCTGAGAGTTGACTAGGCTGTGATCCCATATTCCTGGCCGTTCGAACTGTGAGCTCTCCTGCAGCCAGCTGCAGGAGACTGGTACCAGAAATTTTATTTGTAGGCATCCCTGCTCTCACCTTGTTTTGTGCGGGTTGGAACATGTATGCTGCTTCCTCTTACAGGTCATGGGACCGAATTCAACTGCAAACAGCATTATGGCTGCCTATCAGCAGAAGAAGATGGTGGATCCTTTTGTACAAGGTTAGTTTAGGCTCTCAGTTGGATGTGGGTGTTAGAAATGTAAATGTGGCCAGTGCAATCAGGCTTGAGGTTCACCAAGCGTTGCTAGTTGCCAAAAGTTGTAGAATATCTTCGGTTGTAGGAGTTTCTCGCTTTTCATTATGGTGTCCCCTCCTTCCTCCGGCAAGCAAGTTGCCTTCTGAAGAAACTTTCATTTTATTTGTCCTGAATTCTTGTGCTAAAACTGTTGTCTGAAATGTGTTCCCGGCTTCCTATGTCTGTAGGCTGCCTTTTGTAAGAGATTTGGAAGCTCTGTGGATAGAACTGGTGTTTTCTTAGGAATGTGTTAGGGAATTCCTCTTGTAACTTACTACTTTGGTAGCCAGGCCAGGCTTTTGACCCAGTCAGGCTATGGTGCTTTGCTGTCCTGGAGCCTTTGCAGCTCATGCAAATACGGGGCAGCTGGGACTGCTCCCATTGCTCTTCCATCTTCCCCCCTCCCTCTGGCCCTATAGAACTGCATTGAAAAGAAATCCTCTAACAAGCCACTAGATGCGGCCCCTCCATTGCTGTTTGTCTAGGCTAGCTTCAAAGAAGGAAAACCCCGTGCCTCTTATTCACGCTTCACAGAGCCAAGTGGCTGTTGTACGTGTTAGCACAACAGACATGTCCTAGCAACTGGCGAGTGAACTGGGTTCTGCTGTCTGCCATTGGTTGTTGCCTTTCTGTTCTGAATGATATCACTTTATGGAAGGGGGATTGTTTTGGGGTCTGGTTTGCTTTGGCCTAGAGAACATCTGACTGACAAATCTGTAAGACCCAGTTTGACCTTCTAGGCTGACTTTACTGAGCTGGTGGTCTAATAAAACGCTTCCCCTGTGTAAGGAAAGGTGAGATGGAAGGGTTGAGAAGATGAATGAGAAACCTTGCAGGTATCACTCACGTAAGGAGGGAGGGAGGGAAGGTGCAGGCAAGTCAGGTAGAAGGAAACTCATGGGTTTTTTTGTTTTGGAGGGTTTGTTTTGCTTCATTGGCTTGTCTAGTAGAGATGTTTCCTTTGCCTCATTACAGAATTAGAAGTAACGCTAAATGGTAGAACTTAACTTCTTTTGATCTGGGTGGTTTCCAGCAAATTTTCTTAGGTTCAGAAGACAAGAAAGTCATGAGTTTAACATGATTGAAGGCCCCAGAGACTGACTGCTGTAAGCAGTCCTGCTGGGCATTCTTCAATGCAGGCAGGTGATCAGTGGCTAGAGAGAAATGCTTTGTGTCTGAGACTTCTCAGCCTCCTTGGATGTAAAGGAGAGTACAGGGCAAACTTGCTAGCGGGTAACACCTGAAGAAGCCATATCACCATTATCGTCTGTGCTCACTCTTGTCCTATTTGCCTTTCAGATCCAGAATTACTCATTCCACCAAAACTCAGTAAAAATCTCCAGTGGAAACTCCATCTTCTCCAGTAATTAAAAGCCAAGGATTCCCAGTGGACTCTGAAATGTAGCTTTTAATTTAATTTCATTACATCTTTACAGAAACCATTGTTGTCCCGGCCTTAGTGATACATTCTTCTTAGGGTTGTGCAAGTGTATAGTCCCTTCATCTTGCTAACAGGGGCAGCCACTCATATGCCACTGCACAGATGATTGTGAGGTTGGTAAATAACAGGATGTGCAGCTCTGAACACTGCTGCCTGAATCCACCCTCTACCACCGCTGTTTCCTCCTTTGTGGATGAAGCGGCTCCGCCACTGCCATATGGGCAATACTTTCTCTGTCATCACTCCCTCCTGCAGGTAGTACTTGGCCTGAGTACAGGTCCTCATTAGCATGAGGACAAATCCCATTTTAAGCTGTTCAGCCAGGCTTAAGGAACTCAGCAGTAAATCTGTACTAATTCAAATTGCTGTAGTGGCTATACAAATGAACACTGGGTCTGCTGTCCTGAGTTATGTTATCTCTTCAAGTTGGCTGTTTGCAATAGCAGATTTTCACCAAAATCTTTTTGTTACATTGGAGTAAATTTTGCTGCACTGACTGCAGCTACTCTCCTGGAAATGGTGTCCATTTGCACTAGGAAGATCTTGGGTACATAAGAACATGAGCAAAGGTGGGGGTGGGGGGGGAGAATAGGTGTGCGTGTCACACACTGCTGGATAACACTACCCAAATAAATTTGATCTTAAAGCAAAAATACAGCTAATGTTGCTGCATGGCACTGGCAGCTCAGCTGTTTGTACTCTGTGCTATTAGGAAATTGTTTCACCTGGAAAGTGATCTGACCTCACACCTGAGAATTAGTTTTTTTACCCCAGAATACTTCTATGACCTGACTTGGTAAGTAACAGCAGCAGTCCTGGGAGCCGAGGAAGGGGACGAGTTCTGGAGGTGAGGCTGGAACACTTTCAGTGGCCTCAGCCTTCATTCATGCCAGATAATTTTGACCTGACAGCTGTTGTGTTCAATGCAAACCTCTTCAGTTACATACCATGGAAAAATGCCAGCACAAATGAACTATTTCCTGTCTCTTTCAGGTAACTGTAATGTGCACAGCCATGACCTGTGTCGCTATTACATGGCATTATGCATGTATACAGCCCTGCTAAAGCATTGTTTTCTTGGTGACATGCATGGTGACTGTGTTGCCCATCAGTAGCACTGGGATGGCCACATGTGCCTGCACTGTATCTGCTGTGCTGCCTTGGGGTTGTTGAAGTGGTAAAACTATCCAATATCAGTGCCACATGAAGCACAGAATCTTATTTCCCAGTCTGACTTAGATGGCCTATTTTGCAGTGCTGCAGGACATGGCTTAAGCCTGTTGTCAAGTACTGTGGTTAAAACGGAGAGAGGTTCTCCAAGAATACAGCCTTGAGAAAGCAAAACACATGAAGTGCTGCCCAGGCCTGAGTGTTTTACTGTACCTGAGTCTGCAAAATGGTAGTAGCACCTTGTCCAAAAGGAAAGGTGGAAGCCATCTCACAGATCTGATGAAAGGAGTGGCAGGGTGCGGTCCCTTCTAGGCTATGGCCCCCTCCCTGCAACTGGAATGTGACACTGACATTCCCGATTCCTGACACTCCTAAATCTGTTGCCAGGAAATGTTCAGGTCTTGCGCAGCCTTATGTATTTTTTTAGAAAGGAGTTCAGTCTTTAAGAAATGGTAAAACTACTGCAGGCTTTGTGAGACTTTATGCTCATACCTAAACACTCCATTTCCTTTAATGTGTTTATCTTGGTTCTTCCGCTTCTCCATCATGGTGATGGTCAAAAGGGAAGAGCCTCTGGTCTTAGATGTGTTTTCTTTTTCTCCCATCAAGGATAAATAAGTTGAAATCTTTTTGCCTTCCCAATGGAAGACTAGACTTCTAAGTCACTCATCTTGTAATTCATCTCTGAACTCCATTGTCTCCCCCCAGCTCCCTTTGTTGTGAGTGAACTTTGACAAGTCAGCAGTAGAGCGGGAACCAGCACCTGGTGTCAGTATGTGTCAGGGTCCAGTGCTGTTGGAGCGGATTCTTTTAGATATTCCACACATGTAGGGTGTAATGCTCACAATCAAGTTTACTTAATCGACTATGCTTGATGTTAGATGGGATTTTCATTGAGCAGAGTGATTTAGCAATATACGGAAATCGCTACTTAGCAGAATATAGCAATTGCAATATACAGTTACATCACAATGGAAATGTGATTCCCATTTCTGATCTCTATAATATGTTCGCTGTCACAGTGCTGGGCACCCCCAGTTGCTGGGAAGAAATATGTGGATTGAAACCAGTTGGAGCTGTCTTCTGCTGCTGCTGTCTTCAGAGTTCTTTTTTCAGTTGTTTCAGTTTTTATACTCTGTGTTGATCCAAGTCATCTTCCCCCACCCCATGCTGGCCTGACTAACTCAGGAAGACGTTCATACTCTTTTGAGTAAGTCAAAAAAAAAAAAAAATTTACACAACTGATTGAACCACTCAACTGATATAGCCCTTAATCTCCACACAAAGGGCACCAGAGGTGGTCTGTGTCTTAGATAAATTCAGCTTTCTTTGCAGCAGCTGTGGACAGTCACTCCTTATATTCTTTCTGAGCTTCATTCATAAGCACCTCACCCTTGCCCATCTCCTGTGAGCCTTCTTCCATTGCAGGGGCTTCATTGTGGGTCACTGTGAGCCTACAGCGGGGTAGTCCTGCGTCCTGCTTTTCCACTTAGCAACCAGTTTACTTTCACGTAACTTCTTGCTATGATGCTCCTTGGCTTTCTCAGAGGTGCATTTCACCTTGAAAGATGCTCTGCATTAGCTGCTGTCTTGACAGAGACATTGAATTTGCTTTTTAAGTTCTGAGGAGGCTCTTGCAAATGGATGTAGTTCTCAGTAACAGAGGTAAGCCACTAAGGCAAAAACATGCATTTAGCTTAAGAAATGCCCCAATTCCTAAGCAGATGTGGCTGTATGGAAGTCTGATTCTCTCGTTAGAGTGAAATCTATTCCCCTGCTAAGTGCTGTCCAGCTTTATTAAACAAAAAAGATAAAAACCAATTGCAGGCGCAATAGTGTGAGCACAACATAGCTGCGGCAGAAGTCTCTTAATGTATTTTAATAATAGCAAGAGGGGTGTTCTTGGTACCTGAATCAAGCCCTTTGTCAACATTAGTCTTTCTAAGGATGTGCTTAACCAGTGTCATTCTCAGAAGCACTTCTTAAAGATGCAGGCAGGACCATGTTCTTCGTATTCCCTCCTGTAAACCCAGAGCTGCTGGAAGGATTGGAGCGAGGCCAAAATAGACCCACCAATCCAGACGGAAGACTTCCTTTGAGGGGATGCAGCTATGCTGAGGTGGTCATTTGGGCATAGCCAGATCAGTTCGCTCTGGAAGCGGTCAGCAAAACCAGCCATCATAGTGCTGCCTCCACACAGCAGGATGTTCCCCACCAATCTTCTCTTGAGGTCAGAGTCGCACTTCTTGAAATAGGTCACTGTCAGTTGTGAAAGCCCTGGCTCCTGCGAGCAAAGCAAGGCTGGGTTGAAGAGTGCTTCAGCACACAGGAACCTCTCCTTGCCTATGGTGATGAGGTGTCCATCTGGCAGCTCATAATCAATTTGTTGTTTCCTAACAGGCAAACTCAAGTCCTGCTCAAGATCCAGAGAGGTGTAACAACACTTTTCCTTAAGGTCTTCTATTATACTTAGCTGATCTTCCGTGAACCTCTTTCCAGACTCATTTAGTAGCTTCATGAGATAACGTGTGATGTCCAAGCCAGCATACTCTACCCTCCCAGTGATGCTAGGCATGATATAACCTTCATAGATAGGAACCACGCATGAAACACCATGGCCACTTTCCACCACGAGAGCTGAGGTTCTTCCATAAGAGTACATGGATAACCGAGACTGGTAGGCAATGTGAATGGCAGGCACGCAAAAGCCTTCAAACAGCATCTCGGCATATTTCTCCCTGTTAGTGGTGGGACTCAGGGGAGGGTCTGACACCAGAACAGCATGGTCCTCTGGCTGAATCTTCATCGCTGTGTGGAAAATGTACTCCCAAGTGTCTTGGACGCAGTTCCAGTCCACCACTATACCATGTCTTAGCGGGTTGATAAGCTCTAAAGGTACACTGGTGGTCTGAAGCTCTCTGCCAACAAAGGTTTCTTTTCGCTTGTTCCCAGTCTTAGCAGTCTCCTGTATTTGCTTGCCAACTGTTGACGAAATTACGTGGGAAGGCCAGGGGTCCCCCGCAAAGCCAAACTTAGAGTATCCTGTGCCAAGGTCTATGACTATGGCTCTAGTTTCCTTCACTGCCTTGAGGTGTCCCTTGGCCACTGAGGCTTGACTGTCCCCTTTAGGCTTTGAAGGGGTTGTGGCTGGTGCTGCCTTTCTTACAGGCTTTCCTCGTACAGTTGTGATTGCCTTACAGCTAGCGATGGACATGCCTCTTACCATTACCCTTCCACCATGCTACCTAGGACAAAGGCAAGTGGCAGTTGCAGCACTAGAGGCTTGGCTGATGTCACTGATTTATGACATCAGACACAGGCTTGCTCCTCAGGCCAGCAGAGGGTTTTCAGAAGCTAGTGTTCTGCATGCAAGTTTGTGACAGCACAGACTTTCAGACAGCTGAGCACTGCTTCCTGTAGAGACGGGTTGCAGATACTCTTGTGCTTCTCTTTGACTTGGTCTGAGACATATTAAAAGATATGACACCTGTCCAGTGTGCTGCAGAGAATCCATGCTCCATGCAGATGGAGCATAAACCATGTGTTTAACTGTGAAGCAGCATGGATTTTTCTCTGGCCTGTCTCTCTACCACGCAAAGAAACCAGAGGCTGCAGTGAATCGTTCCTGTTGTTTGAATATTAACACTACTTCACCTCTGGGGACAAGTTAACCCCTGCTCACCTCTTATGACCAGCTTTGCTGCCTTCCCACTCCCCCAGAGTAATACTGCAGTGTTTTTTCTTGCATAGCAAGAGCTCTGGGTGTTCTCTTGCTCAAAGCCACTTCACCCAGATGGCATCTAACATAACAAGTCTAAGATGGGTTTAGCAGGACATTGAGCCCTACAGACTGATTCTGGACCCAGAAGAGACCTATTTTTGTTACCAGTGATCTGCTGCCTATCCGGCAGTTCATGACAGCAGTCAGGTAAGATGCTCATCAGAAGCCTGGATGTGGAGAAAGAGAAGCATTAGGCCACAATACGGTTTCTGTATCAAGCTCAACATGCCCAGCCATGCAGCTGCAAACCTTGGTAATACATTGCTCTGGGGGGGCAGCAAAGCTGGTTCTTGCAAATTTTTATACATATTTATACACACACAGACATTCAATACATTTTTGTACAGGAAGAAATTAGGTCTGCCACTCTTAAACCATGAATAGTGACTGCTGCACCACCAGCAAAGGGCCTATGCCTGCTCCACAGCTAAGGGAAATTTCAGCAGCACCAAACTCTGTCAAGTAGGGCTGTGTTAGTGTTGTGGGGATATGTTGTATTTGATGCTCTTTCCAGACCACTATATTCCCATCACGGTTTTGCTGTCAGCCACACCACTCTGTTACAGCATCACTCAAGACATATTTCAGTGGTAGGCACAGGCCTCCAGAGAAAAAACTTCCCCAGTTACAGTTTGTTTCTTCCAATTCTGTAGTCAAACTGAAGCCTGAAAAAAAAAAAAAAAAAGCATCTAGGCTTCTGAATTAAAATAAATCCTTCTACCCAAAGAAAACACTTCTTGAAAACTTCTTCTCGCCGTACAGACAAGTGTGGGTATGTCACAATAAAACTCCAGACATGTTTTCAATTTAAGAAGTTGATTCATTTGTTTTTCTTTACACTATTATAAAGATAACATGCTGCTGCTTTCAGGCTACATTTTGCCCATATTACATTTGTCATTCCAGTTAACAGAGATACCCACGCCCACTCATTAGCATTTCTACGTCTTTGTCTTAACCTAAAATCTGAACGCAGATTCTAGGACAAGTTTTCTGCAAAGTCATTTTGGGTAATGCTTCCCAAGATGTGCCTTTAACTCTGGCATAGTAGATAGATGTTGTTTGCAAAGGTGACATCTGAGGGGCAATCTGAGAAGTTCAGAGGTGTGTTCTTTCACCGTTACTTTCCCATTGCTTCTTACCATCTCTATCACATCTGAAATAAGAGAGAGGAGGTATGGTGACCGTGTAGTACCACGAAATGCATTTAGCATCTGTGTATGCTCCTTTACACGACAGCATGTCATTTCTGGTCTTTAATGTAAAGCAGTCCCAACATTTAGTTGACTTTTACCTAGTGCTATTCCCCACTATGTGAAATTAAATGAAACCTTTCAATTACTGAAATACAATTTATGGCTTACACATTTTGTTTTGGAAAAAAACCCAAAGCCAAATCCCACAAGCATGATTGTATGTTACTTTTTAATAGTTTTATACTTTTTTAAATCATTACCTTCGGAGTTTATGAAGTATTCTGTAGTAAAAGAGTTCCAGTGCTTTTTTGTTTTCAGGGCAGGGGAATCAAAATCCTGGCTGATGACATGCAAATGCAGCTGACTGAAACGATGCATTGTTTAGAAAAGAAAGAAAAATAATGCTTGAGGTTCTTACGCAGTATTATCGGTTGCAGACTCTATTATAATAGAGTCTGACTGCCTCATGGGCCAGTCTTATTTCTTATGTTTGCTCCACAATCCTGCTACAGAAGGAACCCATTCTGTGCTTTGAAAGCAGTGTCCTCTGCTTAGTGCTCCATCTAATTGTAAGCAGTCAAGATCATTACTGTGCATAACGCACTTGCCCCCAAGGATAGTCCACTTTCCAGAAAGACGGTAACAGTAGTGTTAATAAACCAAAGGATTACAATCGGTAGAGTTCCTGAATGGGACTTTGTATCAGCAACTCAGGGCTAAGTCCAAGAACTGGAAAAAGGCTTAGGAATATAGGCTGCAATACCTAGATACTCTACAGGCATTTGGGCACTGTAATCCCTGGACTCGTTGATATACGAGACTCAAATCCTTGCTCAGGATCAAGCAGGGCAGGGCTTAAGAGTCACTCTCCCTTCCTAGCTCAGGTTTCTGAGGGGGGATGCGTCCTAGCCCCAGGTTGTTTGCAGTGCCACCTCTTTCACTTGTACTGGACCACAGGCATACTGCGACGCCATCTACAGGAACCCCAAAGGCATTTCCCACTTAACTAAGAAGCCTGCTTAGTCCGTCAGCATGTAAGCCGTTGTAAATGCGCAGCTGCATCTAAAGGACTTGGACACCAAGCTGGTTTTAAGGTTTAGGAGGATTGGCTGTGCTACAGCAACATCAAATCGCCTTGAAGATTTGGCCCCAGATCTGTATATCCAGAAGAATGGGTTCTGGATAGCTGAGTTCTACCACCTGATGACTCATTTAGGTCTTACCTCATACTCGGGATCGCATGGTAACCCAGCCTGAACTCCAAAGTCTCTCTAGCAGGGCACTGCTCAATCATTTTTTCCCCAACTGCATGCATATGTTCCAGGAGTTCAAGATGCTCCCTTGTGATTGACTGTAGGCTTGAAATGGAGTCCCATGGTAAGATGAGCCAGTGGTAACGTGCTTTGGGATATTTATCTTTGATGACTACAGTCTTTTCATCTTTGTAAACCTATCAAAAAGAGAAATAGATTATTTACTGATTGGAAGTTAAATGTCTTATTCTGATAAGCACCATATTCAGTGGATTTTGAAGCATTATCCATCTGGATCTATTGTGGCTGCAAGAGTCCCTGAACACACAGAATTGGGAACACCCTCTATGGCTGATGATGGCGATGGCATCAAGACCGCAATCACTCTACTGAAATTTGCCCTCCTCTGAACCACACAAAGTTGAAGTACAAAGGTTCCAAGGAAGCATGCAGATCCCCGAAAACCCCTGCCCTGGCATGCTTAGTGGTTTCTCTTTTCCCTCCATAAGGGAAATCAGAAGGTCCACCTATCCCAATGAACTGTGTTTAACAGCAGCCAATACTGATATAAGACTAGAAAAGCTGTTTACAGTTAAAAGGTATTCTGTAGGACACAGTTTATGCGTATGTTCCAATGAGCATTTATCCATGCTCTACTGTGAAGACTGGTTAGCGTTTCACCTTGTAGCATTCAGGGTACACTCTTGGCTTCTCCTGTTGGCAGCTGAAACTACTAAACGACAAGCCAATGCCAGCAAAAGGCATATTCTTACGGCAGTCCATCTTAAAATTCAGCCGGGGTTAGCAGTGCAGAAGAGACTTATCCAGCACTGAAAAGGAGCCAGAGTACTTGGCACACAAGACTCCACAATAATCATGTGAGCCCAGGAGGGCTCTGGTCATCTGGCTTGGAGAAGGCAAAGGCAGCAGTTGGTTCAACACAGACCTCTTAGTTTATCTTAGGACAAACCCGCTGTGAAAATCTTTAGAGGTACTAATGCCAGAGCCAAGTGATTCAATAGGATCCAGGCAGCAACGGGATCTAGATTAGGTAAAGGCTCACAAAAGGCACTCAAGTAAATAGCACCTTTCCCACAGCAGGCAAAGCCACTGCCATGCAGGTCAGAATATGCAAAAGGAGGATTTAATTGGAGGCATAGCAATTTAAAAAGCCAGGAATGGTTACTACACAGGAAGAAATATCAAGAAGCAGAGCGTTCCAATTCAAGGAGATTTTCAGCTTGATTTAAGTTGGTCCTGCATGTGCTCCCTTTTCCATACGATGGACCAGACGGGTGTGGAGAGATATTCCAGCATCCTTCTTTAAACACTGCAAGAAAAAAAAGCTTTCTATTCTTAGATAGAAAGGAATAACTTAACTATTGCTACAGACTGCTGTGCTACTGCTGTGAAGTCTCTGGAAAAAAAAAGAAAAAGACTAGTGAGGTCTATGAAACTCTACTTCCATCAGGCTTCCATGAAGCTTTGCAGTCATTGAAACAAAAATCTTGTTGCTACGTTCAGTATAGAGCACACAGGAATGCACTGGATTGACTCATGCTTTGAAGATTCCTGGAGTGAAACACAAGTCTCAAAGGTACTCCAAATAACGTGCACAGTGCTATAGACTTCCAGCAGCATTGCACAGACAGAAAACATTTGCCTCTGAGCACTTGCAGTTCATGCTAGCCAGTGTCCTACTTGGTAGGATCACCAAAAGAAAGGAGAGTAGATTTCTGCCATCCTGCTGTCCTTGCCTTGTTTTCATTTTGCTTTGCATTCTGCAAGAATTTGATGGAGCTCATCATGAGAGTCAGTAGCAAAACAAGTGGGGAGCAGCAGCGCCAGTCTGTCAATGGTGATTAAAATCTGTCAGGTTCTGAAACAGAAACTATGTGCTGTGTATGTGATTTCTTAGCAGCACGTCTACTATTGAGAAATGGAAGATTTCCTTCTCATCTTTGCTAATTATTTGCATAGGTTTATATACAGAACTGAGCAGTCTTGTTCTACAGGAAAGACTACTAAAATTTTATCAGCACACAAATTATAAGACCGACTCTTTCAGCAGCAAGACTAGTTCATGGTGTTGTATTTTTACATATATACATTAATGTCTGCATATGCAGCCAGTGGGAATAGAATCAAGGCAATTGTGACAAGCCATTCCTAAAAAAAAAATAAAATAAAATAAAAAGAAAGCCTGCCTGCTCTTTAATATTGATTAAAAAGGAAAGGAGTTCTATTGTGCATTGAGGTCGTAACCACACCTAATAAAGCCAACGCTAAGTCACAAATAGTTATTCATATTCCAGATTATCTCTTAACTCAAGAAAGCACTGTCTTGGAAAGCGCAATGTGAACTTCCACTTAAAGGATGAAGATTAAGCCTCATGTTTAAAAGGTTAAGTCAGCACTTCAAAAGTTTTAGCATCCCTCAGAGAAAGAGGCATTCGAAATGGCTGGCATTGCTTGGATAATGGACATTCAGTTCTCCTAAAACTCTATACAGTCCAACACTTTAGACTTGGATAAAAAAACAAAACGTGAAATTTGGAAACACTCATTTCCTGTCAAGGAAAGTATTTTCACCCTGAGAACGTTCAATGCTTTTGAGAAGTCCAGTGAGGCTGTAGGATCTTCACCCTTGGAGATCATCCCAACTCAAATGAAAAAGGGCTGGGGCCATCTGATCTAGTCCAAGCGGTCATATTGGGTGAGCTGCACAGATCTCTTCCAACTGAAATTATTTTGTGATTTCAAGAACCAAGAGTCACGTGTTCCTGTAATATCTGTCCTCCCAGACACTGTGGATTGCTGAGAAGTGCAAAGGAGAAAAACAACAACAACAGCACCACACTTCTCTAATGCTAAGATGGCCTCCTAGGAGAGTCACTCATCCCAAAGCCAAGCTCTAACGATTCTGGCCTCGCTCTGCCACACAGTGGGGAGACAGTGAAAACACAGAAAGACAATCTTTTTTTTTTCCTCCAGGTACATCTTCAACTTCTTTCAACTAACCAGGCTAAAGACGGTCTAGTCATACAGAAAGATGCATCTTTATGTAAGACTGCTGGGGAAACAAGTAGCCATACTCCTTTCTCTTTTCCCAGACTGGTGGGATATGAGTGAAATTCCTTCTTTTCACCTATTTACAAACATCTGGAATGTAAACTTGGTTTTGAAAAGTATTTGGTACTAGATTCCCCTCTTTTCCATCAGCCTTTAAAGTAACTTGTCTCTCTCAAGATAAATACTCCAGCATTCGTGCTCTCTGATGGAAAGCATTCTCCCTATTCTGGGATTAAGCTATAAAGCTTGTATTGAGCAGAAGCGGGCTATATACTAGTCATAACTTAAAAATAAAATTAAAGTAGCTTTTACTCATAGATAGAGGAGATGCTCTCAGATCGCACTAGTGAGAAAGAGTTGTGGAAGAGTTCTGAGATGTATACACTAGAACTACAAAAACAGAAATCTGACAGCTCCTGCTTCTTGAGTACAACTTCTCAGAAAGCAGGTAGCAGACAAAAACACAGCTAAAGGGGAAGTGTTATGCAGCTAAAGTAAAACAGAGAGGTAGAGGGAGGGAGATGCATTTGTACTATCCGCAGAAGCTTAGCAGAAAACACCCAAGAATTCCTGTAGACACAAGGAAACAGGGTGGAGCAGGAGCCAGCGGTCACATCCTGTCAGCTAGCTCACAGGTTTTCCTGAGTTAAGAGTTCACTGGGAACCAGGAAACTGAATCACTCTCAGAAACAAGATAAAGCTGACTGCTGGAAAAAAGAAAATGAGCTTCCGCTACTTGCTCAGCTTCAGTCTACGCCATCCTTCTAGACAGTTTCCCCAAAAAAACAAAGGAACCATACTGTTCATCTGCTCTCCCAAAAACCTTTTCCAAATCTGTTGGCTAAATCTGACAGAGTTGAGAGCTCAAGGATAATGAAGTTCTGACATTTTGTCAAGTCAGCACAGTAGAGATTTCCAAATGCATGCTACCACAGGGAAAGATGCAACTACAATTCAACCCTTATGCAGCAGCCAGCTGGTTAATTAGATCAAAATATGCTGCAAAAGGAAGAAAGAAAGCTCGTTTCACTTTGTTAAAAGGAAATTTCTATAAGCTACATGTGTACAATTCCTACCTGCATTTTTGGATCTTGCATGGAGCTCTTTAGACCCTGACTCCAGTGTCCTGAATGTTCCTAAGACAATACAGAAGGAAAAGCATTTTTAGGAGATAATTAAGAATCTAATGACATTTAAAAGCATTCAGTTAAATACTTCCATTGGAATTATAACAACAAAATAATAGCTGAATGACAACTGATTTTTTTTTTTGTTTAAGAACATATGCCCTCTGATCTCCCCCTCAAAGCTACTGATACAGATTCTTAACAAGATACTGGTTAAGATTCAAAGTAAATCTTTCAAATGTTGGAAAATGTTATCAACAGGGAGTTCTAGATCTGTCTGAATTTTGTACCTTGTTCACATATGTTATGACATAGACCTTGAATATTGTTACTGATGCCAGAACATTTTACTACAAAACTTGTTGCTTCATGGATCACAGGGGCCAAAGGAACTACGCAGATCTGCATTTACACTCCCATCACGCACAGCACAGAACAAAGAAACACTGTTGCAGAGTCTGGCCCTACTCCAAGATCTTTCAGTAGCGTGCAAGACACGAGTGGCTTGTATGGAAAATTAAAGCACAGGTCGATCAAGCCAATACCAGCAGATCTCTTAACTGTGAATTTCTTGGTTAATTAACAGCTAATGGAAGATACATGAGTGTATTTGCTAAAACAGACAACATTTTTCGGCTCAGAACACTTCACAGGCATTGCCAAAGATGATCCACACCGTATTCACGTAGAGGAAATGTTCAAATATTACTCTTGTGCAGAGAAAGAAAGAGGAAAGTATAAGCCAGCCAACACTTTGAACCTTCTTCTCTCTACTTACACTACCACAAATCCGGCCCTAATACAACTAGCCTGAGGCTGCAAATGAAGTAAGCGGTAAACCTGAGACTAGAATTTGGTCCTACTGGGTTGCATTTCTGTGGTGTCTCCTGCAGCAACCACACATTTAGTTCCAAAAGCCCTGAGTGCTCATCGCTCTTTTTGATTGTCATGTCACCCCAGCTGAAGACCCCCTTTCAGATATTTTTAGCTAGTAACACCCATTAAGGTAAACCTGGTTCAACCATGAGGAATGACGAAAGAGGGCAGAAAAGAGGAGGGGAAAAAAAAAAAAAAAAGGAAATGTTCCATTATGTGTGTAAGCTTTTAGAAAACCACTGCTTTATTTGTAAACACAGTAGATTTCATCTCCAGTGGTGGCACAGAATCCTCATGGGACCCCAGCTAAGCTGAGCGCACATGGACTGCCTTTCTTGCAGAAAGTGCAGCAGGTACCAGAGATCAGATCCACGCTTACTACCTGCAGACCTCTTCACGCACGTATCAGCTCAGCAATCATGCTGATTCCAGCAGGAGCCTGTGAAGGACTCAAGCCACATTAGTGATTTCGTGGAAGATACACTCAGGTTAGAAGGGCGCCCAGGTAACTTTCTTAAGATCTGTGTGGCGTCAGGAGCAGAGTCTTTGCCTTAGCACATGTCAGCTCATGATGCTCTGAATACTTTGCGGATCTGCGTTCACCTGACAAGTTTCCCCATAGGTAGTTCCACAAAAATAAAAGGCCAACACTCTCTGCTGGAGAAGACAGCCCTAGGAGAACCAGTAGAAGTATTAATCCTAAAACACTTACCTTTTTGCTGGAAGTCCCCTCATTTGAGGATACATTGGAACTGCTCAGTTTGCGATCTGCAGAACTACCTGGTGTATCCACTGCCTTTGTCTTCATATTTTTTTTGGGCACATTTTCTTCATCACTATTTTTGCGGGAGTCTTCACACGGCCTCTTCTCAGCTTGCGTTTTCGCCGCTACTACTGCAGCAGTTTTCCCCGATTCTTCAGAGAATTGCACCGTGTAGGGGTAGAGTTTGTTCACAATATGCAGAACTTGGCCTGGCCTCATTGTTACTTCTTTATCCTTGCCAATATGCACTAAATCAACACTAGTTGGGTTAACCCCTATCTTTGGTGGGGGAAAAAAAAGAAAAAAGAAAAAAAAAGAGCAGAGGATATTATAACTGCAATCACCAGCAGCTAACACTATGTCGTCCTGACACATCACTATCCTGCAAAGTAGAAGTGTTTTGTATCCACTCCATACCCCTCCTGACGCTGACCCACTCTAAAGGATCCGGGAAGTTAGAAGCTGGAGGCACCTCAACTGCTGGCACACAACCCTCAGAGGCACGGTGTCCCAGGGACTGAGCAGCACAGGTGGCTACAGAGTTACAAGATGACCTATGCCTCACTGCTCCCTCCCCAAAAAACAAACAAACAAAAAAACCAAACATGTACTAAATAACTGCTAAAACAATAAGAGTTTTAATAACAATTACTGTTTTATCAGTAACAGCAGTTTTAACAATTATTTCAGTCCACCCCCCGAAGGTTAACCAATTTCCAATTGTTTTATTTTCTCTTTCTGCTCCTTTCTTCTACATTTTGCTTTTTCGTTTCTCCTAAATGCTGTCCCATCAGCACGCCCATCTCCAAACACATGGGACTACTCTTTTGACTCATTTCGAGAGAGGAAGAAATCCAGGCTCCTGACAGCTAGCTCACTAAGAACAGCTCATTGCCAACATTTCTTCTTTTTCAATTCATATCTGATAACTCTTCCCCAGCCCACATAAGACTATGTTTAAACAGAGCTGGTGACAATACTTTGTTTCTTTCAAGAGAGGCTAAAGCTCCCTGTCCACCCCAGCATGTGTAAGTATGACACCTGCAGTGCCTGCTTAAGCAGATACATTTTGGTCATGAGAGCGACCCTATGGAGGTATGGAGTCTCCGGCTTCAGCAAAATGCTTTTGGTTAATGTTTATACATGGTACACACTGTAGGAAGCCAGATGATGCTTGTGACTGACGGACTCTGACACAAAGTCTTTCTTCAGCTTTGTCACTGCAGTACCTGCGTGTTTCACCAGATGGTACTGTGCATCTCATCAGCTGATACTGCCTGTGACAAATCCCAGATTCCAGCCATGATCTTTTCGGTCTATAACCGGTAAAGTTTCACTCACACTAAGTACATTTCCATTCCCCGTGATCAATATGTTATTTAACAGCTGATCACTGGAACACTGTGTGCCACACACCAAACACGGGAAGCAGCTCTAGAAAACGTGCTAACTGCCACCACCAGGGGGTACTCCCTGGCCTAAGATTCCAGTAACATCATATTCAAACGGCTGTTAAGGCTGATTTCTGTGAAATCGTATCTAAGAGTTTCTTGTAGAATTCATCCGAAACCAGCGGGGCCAAGTACTTGCTGAGCTCTTGGGACATTTTGATGGAAGACGTTATTCATCAGTAGACAGATGCGTGGTCTGCCTGGATGCTGGTGCTGTGGGCACACATACACGCCTCAGCACTCGAAGCCAGAGAATTTTCCCTTCCTGACACCTCAGATATGTATGAGGACCACAACACGAGAGCGTAGGCCTGAGTCCTCCCAATTAATAACTTTAGAATGCCTTCAGTGCTGTTTCAAACCCCTTCCCTCCCTAGAGGTGACCACAATTTTGGCAGTTCTCAAAGGTTTTTGTTTTGATGTCTAATAGAGCCTAGTCTCATCAGTGCAGTAAGAACCATTCTGAGCTTAAATGAAGGGCTGCCTCAGCTTTAGAAACGCAAGGCTTAGGAGGAAAGTCAGTAAGTTAACCTCTTGATTAGGGCAAGCACATTGAAGTCTCCAAAACATACTCCCTGGAGGAAGAAAAGCCTGAGTATTCAAGGCAGTGTTCCCTAATGCTGCAGCTCTGGCTCTCTGAGACGCAAGTATGTCTAGAAGGAGCACCGCAGCCTTTGCACTGAGGTACACAGATGAAAGAGAGCCCTTCTGAGGACTACCTGGCATGCTCACCTTGATCACAGAATAGCTTGAGGCCGTTCAGGCTGTGTGATCAGAACCATCACTTGCAGCATTTGTGGAGCGTAAGGGTAACGACCACCTCAGTAAGTATCAGAAATATTGTACGTCCATTTGAAAACATACCTGTTTGACTGTGACATAACCCTCATTACAATCTGCTTTTAATTGTACTGGAAAAAAAAAAAAGAAAGAAAAAGCATCATAAAACTATGTAAATAAGAAGGCCTGAAAGGCAGAGAACAGGCCTGCATTTTAAGCTTGTGTTACCTTCTGAGGAAGATTTTATGAGTACTTTTAGAAGAAGACTTTTGCCATGTTGTCTCAGTGTTTCCAGGATCACTGGTAATATGGGACTAACCCATACGACTGAGTCACACCTGCATATTTCATATGGATCAGCAAAAATTGCATCAGAATAAAGGGGAACTCTACTGAAAAATTTTACAAGTTCTTGCTATTCCCATCAGCGCTCTGTCACAATATGGCAGGGAAAAGGGCTGTGTCCAGAATGGAAGTATAAGGCGGGGAAGGTGGAAAGCAGGGGGCATTTTACAGATCAAGATGTGATTTCTCCCAATGCGTTTATGAAATTCCAGTTTATGAAATTCCATTATAAATCAGTTGGTGGAAGTCAGGACAGGACTAGCACCACTTGCCAAGTGAGAGCAAGGGCAATTGAACAGGACTATGGACCTGGGGACTCACGTTAGGGCTCGATATGTTAGTTTACAAAGATCAACTTCTTATCTTTGTTTCAGTAAGAAGGCCATGTTTCTTCAGATTTGTCAGAACCCAGAGGTCTTCCTAAGTGCTTGTAAGAAACTCAGTGGCTTTAGGAATCATGCAGCTCTGTGTATCATACTGAGACAAGAGATCAACAGCCAATGGATGCAGGAATAAGCCTACAGGAACCCCGCTCAGATTTCAAGGAAGAACTACCAACTCCATTTCAACACTGCACAGAGCAGGCCTACAAGTAAGGCCAAAAAAGTGTTTCCGTGGCTTCACTGCCATTTAGCTGAGCAAAAAAATGAGGTTTATCGATCTGCATGACCCTATCGTGAGTGCTGCACTTGTCTTTACACATGCTTGACAACTACCAGACTGGGAAAGCAGGACTCGTGCTCAGTCTTACCTTGCTGCCGGGAACACTTCTTATCTGTTATTCCAGTCTCGGGGCCACGTCCAACCACCACCGCTCCCAAGTGGGGCAGCCTGATTCGCGGACGGCATTGCTCTCTGGCCACCAGCCAGCACACGTGCATCACCGCCCTAGGGAGCGAGATAAACAGCACGTTAGTGACCGGCGGCTGCCCGTCAGGCTGTCTGCCGCCGGGGCGAGGGGCGTCCGGCAGGGCCTCCGGCCA